TTGAGGGTCAGGAGTACTGAAAACAGTACGAACGTACTGACTCTGGCAACCCTGGTAGTCCACATCCCCTTAGAATTGAAACTGCCATGCTAAATTTTGAATATACGTTTAGCGCCCCTGACGGTGACGCGCGTGAAACTTGGTTATGTGAGTCATTAATCCGATATTTTATTCCTTACGCTTGTTTTCACCAAATTTTATCAGGCTGAAAGCTGCAAGCTTTACAGTTATCAACTTAGTAAGTATATATTTCCGGTCAATAAAGGCGAACTTATGATAATATTCTACTAAAAGCGTTATGACGAAATCAGTCGCAACCATATTTTTTGCGATTTTTACTGCTCTCAAAAATTTTTTGTTACTGTTATGTACCACAGTGTTCGTCTTCACTCGGATAGATATAACATCTAGCGGCGCCCCGCATCAATTAATTTATATAAAATTAAAATATAATAATCGAGTTGTCAAATGAGAAAACAGATACCAGCTTAGCTTCGGAAACGGTCACAGAACATCCCCCTTGAAAATGAATTGAAACTGACATTATAGCTTTTGAACATGATACAATGAATACAAGGTAGGATCATGATGCAAAAATATTCATTGTATCATGGCTTTTGAAGATACATTTAGCGCGGGGATATTCTATGGAAACGGTTCAGAGCAGGGTGACCAGGTGTGGCGATTTTTTGCTTATGTTGGCGCCAATGTTATTTGAATTGGCGACTGGCGATTTTTTGACGATTTTACAAGGCTTGGTGATTTTGGAGTTTTCTATTATCCTTATATTAAAATAGCAGTATAAGCTTAAAGATCTAAACGCTTGTATCTGAAAGCTGAAGCTTATAAGCTGTTCAGCGAAAAAATATATTTCTTAAATATCTAAGTTAAATGTCAAATAAATATTAAAAAAAAAATTCTTAAATATCTGATTTAAATGTCAATAAATATTTAAAAGAAATTATTCTTAAATGTATAAGAATCTGTTGCGTCAGACCTACATTAAATATTACAAAAAAATATTAGTATAATATTTGTGTGTTATCGCGGTAAATCATAAACCTAAGCATATTAGACCCTTATACTAACACAATTCGGGCAAGTAAAGCATATATGATTTTAGATAATCGAATAATAATCATGCGCGTCATTTCGGGATTTAAACTGGCGTGGCAAAACCTGCTCAGATGAATGTGGTCCTCTTTCATAAAAATGTTTAAACTTGATATTAAATCTATTAGTTCTTTAAGCTTTTCCAGGCTATTTTTGCAGCAATTTAATTACAGCTTTACTACTTTACCAGACTGGTTGCCATACTGTCAAGTTCCTTTAATCTTATTTTATTCTTATTTTACCTTTAATCTGTTTTCTCGTAAGTTTGTCACATACAATTTTAGCCCTTTACACCATTTCTGACCATTGTTTTGCATGTTCGGTTCGGTGCTCTTGAGGATTCGGTTCACTTGTAATTTGACGATGGCCCTGATGACAATAATTTTTAATTACTTGAGTTATTAACTCAATTAGGATATGGAGTTAATTATAATTAATTAAACATTATGCAAAAAATATTTTACTCAATTGTCATCATACATCCCAGATAGCACAAAATATTACGTAAATATTTACTAACTATTAACCAAATATTTATATGTTTAGTAAATATTTTATAGCAAAAGGAAATATTTTTAAAATATTATCAAAAAATATTTGTTTTTAATATTTAATTAGCATGAAACAAATAAATTAATAATAACGTTTCTTAGTACATAATACTTTTTGTACCTATATATAACACCATTAACACCCGAAAAGTTACTAATATATTATTTTTAATAAGTGTGAACAAACTTTAGAACATATTATCTCAATTTTCATTAGTCAATTAATGGTAAATATTTCATAGCAAAAATWAATATTTTTTAAATATTATAAAAAAATATTTGTTTTTAATATTTAATGTATATCCACGGTATATAGAAAAATTGGTCGAAAATAAATTTTTCGTGCCCGCAGCAGAAAAGTAAGGGTAGTTGGAAGCTGAAGAAAGAGTTTGATACCCGGCCATCCACGGTACAATATTATATACCGATTACCCATGCTTTTAACAGAGACAAGGGATAATTATTACTTGTCTCGTCTCTCCTCCGGCATTCAACATCTGGTGATCCACTGGTGATCTGGTCTACTCCCGGGGTTTTGCAGTTCTCCAGGTGTTTTACCGCTGCCTCTAGTAATTATCCAGAAATGGGCGCTAATTCCTCTGATCCTACGTTTAGGACTGGCTGATGAATTTGACCTTCTTGCTGTGGTTGCTCGACCGATGGGCTGTATAGTAGTCGATAGAATCTCTCAAAAGTTTCTGCGATCTCCTCTTTCACTCTCGTTCATATTCGTGGTTAAATACCTCCTAAATCTGGCCACATTTCGAACACTGAACTCCGCAAAAGAACAGGACTGGTAGGTGCAGTGGAGAGGATCGCAACTCTAAAATGGAACTGGGCAGGATATATTGCCAGGACACAAGATAGGGATGGTCGGTATTTCACGTAACCGCTAAAATCTGTTATTTTAGCGTTCCAAACGTGTAACCTGAGACCGTAGTTACACCTAGCCGATTTAACCGGTTTTTTGGAACCGTCTCATAAAACCAAAATAGAGGTGTGCACTTCGGACACCGTCGAGCGATCTATCCAGTTGCAGCCGTTTGCCGATTTAAACCGTCGTTTTTGGAACCGTCTTATAAAACCGTAACAGCGGTGCGCGTCAGCATAGAACCGATGCGACAACGTGGAGCCATCTATTCAGTTGCAACAGTTTCAGTAACCATTTGTCAACGGTTTCAGTTTCAGTTCTCCAAGAACCAGCAAAAATTGGTATAATTGCTGCTAAGATATAATTCAGCAATTTCAGTCTATAAGTATTTAGTTTTCTGACATTCTTTAATAAATCTTAAAAAAAAGATTTCTCTCAAGAAACTTTGCTCGGGAGTTATTACCATTGCCAGCAAACTAAGCAGAATGTGCACTTGCACATGAGCTATGAGCAAACTAAGAGTATGAGACATAAATTCCATCACAGTTGAAATGTAAAATAACAAACGTTTTAACCAGAATGTGCACCTGCATTTAAACAAGCTGGCCATTTTTAAATATAAATTCAATCAGAGATGAAATGAAAGTTATTTGAATAGCAATAAACGTTGTAAGGTCGACACATTTAAAAAAAATTATTTTGTGGTGGTACCAAAATTAACTCTTCCAGTAATACTTCTCCCAGGTTTGCCAAACACGCATTTCTATTTGTTGTTATTGTGGATTATTTATGTTCTTGTGAAACGAAATGCGAGAGATTATTTTTTAAAGCGGGTGCTATTATAAACGCGCAAAAAATTAGAATCAGTAACAAGCATCTGCAAAAAAAATTATTCTTAAAAGTTAATTTATTTTTAAATGAAAATGAGATTTTTAAGCATTTTCGCATTTAAACGGTATATTTTATTTAATTACTCTAGTTTTATTATTATCAGTTTTTTTGTTCTTTAAATAGTTACCTCCGACCTATGTTTTGTTTTTGATTTTAGAATATTTTATTTTAAGTTTACCAATGTTAAGAATTATATTTTGAATAAAGGAAACCATTATATATCATCACTATTTCTACTATCATCATCATTACGCATTTTTAATGAAAAATTTAAAAAGTAACCTGTTCTTTTTGGAACCGCATTTTGAAACTTATTACCAAGTTAAAACCGAGACGTCGTCACACGTTACAGAAAAATAACCGTTTATCACACCTCTAATACAAGACAATAGGTGGACCAAGCTAATAATAGAGTGGAGACCCAGAGAAGACGCGAACAGAAATGGGGGACGACCGCCAACTAGATGGTCTGACGACATAAAACGCATCAAGACCAACTGGATGCAGAACGCACAAGATAGGAGAGGGCGAAAGAAACTAGGGGAGGCTTATGTTCAGCAGTGGACAAATCTAAGCTGATGCTGAAGAAGAAGAAATCTGGCCGTAGTCCTCGAACCTCAAAGGCACTCCCTGTTAACAACTGTAGGCACATTCCTCAGTGCAAAAGAGTCACAAGTTTGATTGTGGGGCAAAACCCGTCTGCCACAAGTGTGCTCAAGGGCACTTCTACTTCGAATGCAAAAAACTAATTGCGAAAGTCTTCACCCGGCAAGCTACTTCTCCTGTCCCAAAAGCCACAACTTCCTTGCTCAAAAACAAGAAAAAAGTAAGCAGGCCAGTTTTCGCCGCCGAAGTGGGTCAACAGCCTGAACCCCCACTGCCCGCAGCTCAAAGCCCACCAGCGCCAAATGTCCCCCCCTTTTCTACCCGACAGCTCCTTAGCTCCACTGCATCATGCAGAGCACGTGCCAGAGTACTGCATCAAGGTGGATTGGTAGAGGGGGTGCTATCGAATGGCCACCAAGATTTTCTGATTTGTCTCCGCTAGATTTGTGAGGACTACGAAATTGTAAGACTTATTCTACACAACCAACTAGCCTAAAAGGCTCACAGCATTTTGAACATTTTTTAAACTAAGTTATTTTTGTAAATAATACCAAAACATTTATAATCTAAAATATCAAAACTATAGCTCTTGTCACAAAGTAGGCATCGTCGAAAAGAAAAATGTAAGGCCGTTCGAACAAGGAGGCATTTACCCCCACTTACCATTAGGCGACAAATAAATACATTGACGTGGAACAAGTTATTTTTTGTAAATGCCTTTAGGAACTCTCAACTTGCACCGTCTCTTTTTCGGTGGTTCACCCTGTATATATATAATTTAGTGCGGTGTTGCAACGTAAAGTCTCATTTCAAACATGATAGGTCACTTTTGCAACTTTTTAGACTTCAACTGAAGGAATGACCCCCTGTGTATGGGATCCACGAAGCAGTGAGGTGTCGTATTGTTCTTCACATTAGTTTACAACTCGATGAGCAATGTTCTTCATGATTTAGCATCACAGTAAGCATGCACCGACGCCCGCATTGTAAAGTCAAAAATAAGCTCGGTTGACGCTAAAAATAGTGGCTCAATGTCGCTATTGCTTAGTCGTTTCGCGAACATCGTGGAAAACTGTCGTGACGATTGCATTAAAAATAGAAACAAAAACTACAAAAAAATCGCCCAAAAAAGAACTTTATGATACATAGGGTAGCAATCGGATTTCGAAACCGACTTTAATCCGAAAAGAGCACCCTCGTGATCGGGTTACGTAAGCAGTCGACGTTCAGCTGACGGTGATTAATTTTCTGTTCTTAATCCGAAAATAGTCGCAAAATTCTGGCGGTGGTTATTACGATTTTCGGAGGCTGTTTTACGTTGGAGGTCAGTAGTTCAATCAAGCGAATGTTTGAATTTGAATTGGAAATTTCAATTGTAAGTTTTTGCATTTGCTTCACTTGGAAGTCCCTTGAATATCGAATTATGTCACATTATTTCAGTTTTTGTCGTGAAATATTCTAGTCAAATTTTACAGTCCGTTTTTAAAATCGTGCTGTTACTTTTTTATTGCAGTTTTAGAGCAAACTGCAGATTTGCACGAACAGTGCAGTTCACAAAGTTTATTGAAAAATATCAAAACACAACGCAGAAATGGTATAAATCTAAATTAATTTTCGCGTAAAATGAGTAAAGTGACCTAAGAATTTAATTGCAATTAAATATTTGCTCATTTAAAAAGACCTAAAATACAAAATACACGTTGTCTATGCAAAAGGTTGCAAATCAAATAGGCGAAAGCCTAAACCATCTTATGCCTTATTTCGGACAAGACTCAACCGTAACTGACCCAAGTTAACTAGCATGTTGTATGTTCAAAAATAGAATAAAAACTTTAACACAACAGAGGCGCTGAAACGAACAAATTCAGCGTAAATGTTTGGATTGGTATAATTGGCAGAAGGCTTGTAGGTTCGCGTTTTTCTCCTAATAGAACTAACGCTGCAATTTTTTTCATTTGCCTGACTTAGCATGATAATTGCGGATAATCGTCCCCTTTTATTTGGCTGGAAATCCATCAACAGGTGGATTGGTAGGGGCGATCAAAGGGCTTGGCCTCCTACTTCAGACTTTTCCTTTCGGACATTGTCGATAAAATTTTCGGTCGTTCGGTTCAAAGTTGATTCGAAATGTCCAAACGCCGACTTTAACCGAAAACTGAAGAAACTCGTTTTGAATCGTGCATTATACGTAGTGCATTTTTTTTAAATTTCATCTTCTTCGCCCGTGTGAATCTAATGGTACATGCATGAGCATCACCACGTATTAGTGCAACTTAGTCAACCAGATTATTATCAAGTTCAAAACCAGAAATTGGAGTACGTTCGTAACACACCTGTTGTGTCCGAAAAAACTACCCGTCTTAACTTCACAACCCCGTTCGAAATAAAAGCCAAAATTGCTTAAGTACGTTAAGTGCACCCGCAGACGGACGACTTTTGTTGTTCGACAATTTACTCGTCAATCCACGGCCACTTTGGTGCCTGCACAGGAACCACATTTTTGAAGCCTCAAAAGTGTCCCCTAAAAATCCTATTTCGGAACAAGCTAAATTAAGTAAATAAATTTATTTGACGAAATTTTGTCGCTCAGTCCAGTGAGTCCAGGTCCAGGCCACTATCGCTAGCGTCTTTTAGGCTCTGCGTCTAACCTTGTAAATGGAACAAGTTCTAGGCCTGGGTAACACTGTGTTGAGTTATAACTCATGGCCGGTGACGGAATTTTAACATCTAACAAAAAAAGCCATCACCATATTGCTTTTGCGCATGCGATTGCTTGAAAGTATTTGGTCCAAAACGGGAAAATTCGGAGAGACAGGATGAAGAATTTTCCAAATACTTATTATATGCTTTTGCTTTTTCTGGTCGTTTTTTGAGAAAACCGAAATTTTGTCGAAAAAACCAAGATAAGTTTGTTTCGATTTTGTCCCAAATTCAAAGGTAAAACGGGTATTCGAAAAAGACGATCAAGAAGAACAAACTGTAAAGACGACGACTTTTCTTGTAAAATCCATCTTTTAACTTTTTTGCATAAAAGACTCAGTTTACCAGTATTTTACAGTAAAACGTTACGAAAAAACGCGTTGCTCTGTTTACAGAGAGTTTCGTTTAGAAATATTGACCTAAAAGTGAAAAAATCGGAATTTAAATAAACCAAATTATGGACAACGTCAGAAGTGATGAGTTTTCCGAATAATTGATCATAAACTTTCACTTGTTCTGTTCGGGGAAATATTTTTAGGAAAAAATCCAGAAAAAATTATTAGGGTTTTGCATAAAATTCGAAGCTGCAAAAGGATCCAGAACAAATTTACAAAGCTGGTTATGAGCCGGATGTTCCGATAAAATTTATTTTATAATGTTTACAGAACCTACCTGATGATTGTCAGTATTTCAAGTAAAACTAAAAATACATTTTTTTGCGTAGAAATAATTGCTTAATAGAGACTTTGCTAAAACTGGAATGACCTGAATTTTGTCAGAATGTTAAAAAATGTTCAAAGCGATGGGGGTATCAAATTTTCCAAATAAGTAATATATATATATATATATTAAATGCAAATTCAAAATATCTATCTGTAATACAATATACAAACTCAAATCATTTTTTTATACTTATATTAAAATGATCTTCACATACATGGGCAGTAGTCTTCTCAGCAATATCCTTGTAAGATGTTCTGTATACCTTTAACCACTGTAAACGCCGACTTTTATCTCGTGGTACACGAATAAATAGCATATCTGTCGTTTTAAAAGTTGTACTAGGGCACCGTCGCACTATACAGAATTTGTAATATTGTGTTTCCATTATTAATAAAGCACAGCACGAATTCTGAACAGTCAAACACCCAGATAATTCAACGATAAGCCGTATTCCCGTATTGCCTTTCCATCGAACGACCAGCGCTATGACGTCACGACCATTCCCGCGCGTTTAATGTCGTTTCAAATGAATAGCTTGCGGTCACAACTTTAATTGTTTATTGAAAATTAAATATTGCGATTTGATGGCTGATATTTGGTATTCCCGATTCCTATAGATAGACAAATATATTAAAGAAATAAAAAAATGTTCAAGTTACCCATTAACAAAGTTTTAAAAATGTTACTGTAAGTGACGCACAATTGCCCATCAAATTATGAGGCTGCTATATCAGCAACCACAAGTAAAATCACATTTACAGGTTAAATTTACAGTTTCAAAAAATCACATTCACAGTTATAAAAGTGATTTTAAAATCACTAGTAGCGGCTTCAAAAGTCGCTCGTGTGCGCGACTGTATTTAAAATAATGAGTTCCATTTTCAGCGTCAAAACAATCGCGCTACAAAATTCGCCTGTCTATGGGTGCCCATGTGGTAATAGGTGGTAGTAGGCAGTAAAAACACTCCGAACAAACAAACAACTGAACTATATATAAAAAATCGCCACTAAAAAAAAGTGTGGTAACACAAATAACCTGAACACTATACCCCCCTGTGCGCATATGGGCCGTACCCTTTTTGCTACCCGACTAACTAACGGGACCTTTAAAAAATATGTTGACTCGAGGTGGAGGGCTGACCCTTGACAAGAGTGAATTCTAAATGGCCCTCACAACACATAAGCACGCATGTGGTCTTTTCTTTAAAGTCGTTTTCATTCTGGAAATTTGTCCTATACTCCCACTCTAATCACAAAAAATATCCTAATTTTCGGACGTATGTTATATGCTTTGCCAAGTGTATAGTAGAAATTTGAACGCACTTTATCATTCTTAATAGCATTTTCTTTAAATTCCAGGATCTTTGAGAAAATGTTCGATATGGTATTTCTGAAGCAAATCGACCTACAGTGGGATGGATCGTGTTGATAGACGTCGTCGCAGAAGCAGGAACCACAAAGGTACACCGATAGATAAATTTCCATTTTCACGCCGTATTTTACAAACAGTGATATAAATTCTTGAATTTTTCTGCAAAATAAATGATATAGAAAATGCCTTCAATTTGGTCAGATGAAGCTTTATTTCAGACAACGCCTCAGTTGTATCATGGCAGGAACGATTTTCAAAAGGACCATTTTTATGAAATAACTCAACCTGAGCGCCTTAACACGCACATTTTCCATTTTTAAGTAATTTAAGATTAGACGGAATTCATTAACGTTGAATATGTTTTGTTAGAGGTAATTTTTTATAGTCACCCGGTATATATGAAGGGTTTAGTAATCAAAACTGCCTAAGTGCAATATTTTGCAAAACCAACCTAAGTGTTAGATCAGCATATCAGCTTTTCCTTAAAATAACTTTGGATGAGGACTTTCCATTTTTTGAGTCAGAAAAATACAAAAAAAATGTCGAAGCAAAATATCATTAAACCTTGTTGTTCACAATGTAAAACCTGTACTGAAAATAAAATAAATCATTTTTTGCAGCAAAAAAGCCACCAAAGGTTCCAATTAAAACTTACAGGTGGGAGGATATAAGACGGTGGCGAAGAAGAGGAGGTTATCCATGGACACATCTCTATAAAGGACCATATTCAGAAAAAGTGGATCCACAGCAGTTTACTATGGAAGCTTTTAGGTAAAGTTTTATTCGCAAAATGAAAATTGTTTCAGTAAACGTTTACTTGAGGAAAGTGTGAAATGTGACGTTGTTGATTTTTCGGTGGAGGTTGTTGAAAATACGAATTTTTTTCAGTACGGTCTCTAAAATATATCGTGTATATGTAAAAATATAAAGGGTTATTCACGTTATACTGCACGAAAGTTTGCGGCTAAACAGTTTGATTTTTACAAAGTATTATTTGATGAACCCACAGTCGCCTACAGGGCGCACATTTTAAAAATATTTTTGAAATGTACAAGGTCAAAAAAACAAAAGCCCTAAAAGTATCAAAGTGTTTTATTAAACGAAATACCTTATATATTATTGCAGTTTTAGATTCTCGGAGCAGAATAAGTGTTTTTTAGTAAGGTTTATAATACCTAAATCTTAATGTTTTTAAATAATCCGAATTTTATCTAAATCTATCCTAATTTTCATGTGTCAGATACTTTGTGATTATTTATGTTATGTAAGCATAATTTGCAGTGAAATTTCTTGTTACAAAATCCCATTTTTTATCTAAATTTTTAATGGCAATGCAATATGCTAAAATAGTGGTAGAAAGTCATGTAACAAATATTTGTCCATATGTGAATATTTTCCGAATTACAACGCATCAAATAATATTTTGTTCTTTTTTTTACTTATTCTGAAGTTTTCTTTGTGGATAAAATAAAAAAAGGTACAGATTTTTATCATCGTGATCACAAACTTTCTAATGAATTTTTTTTCTCTACTTTACCACTAGATGGCACTTTTCCTGAAATCCAAGTTTCTGGGCAATATCTTTTTGGCACGTCAAATATCACAAAAAGTAATATGCAATTTTAAAGAATAGAAAATATTAGACACAAAATGTGCTCTTTAAACGACTTCAAAAATCTTTTCATTTAGGACCAAATGGAGAGCAAAATTTTTACCACTCTTAGTCCAGTGTCAACCCAGTGTCCTTGTATTTAGTTGCAATCGCAGCAAATCAAGTCATCTGGTTTAAAAATGTGCCAAATTTGACAATTCGTAGTAATTATTGTATTACTGTATAATCTAGACTAGAAATAACAAAAAGCATCATTGCCGCTTTAACTCTTCATCGAAAAATTGTAGAAGAGTACTTTTTTATATGAAAATGTTCGTAATTTGAAGCAACGATCTTCATTTTGCTTCCCGAATGCTTAAGTATTCCCATAGGACACTGACCAAACATGGGACCATTTCACAATAATACTTATAACGAAATTGAAAGGCAAATTGGCACTGTTAATATCTGATAAAAATTTTCGAAATTGTTTTTAAATATTTTCTTTGTACTTTTGCCAAGTCAACTGTAAATTAAAATAACGCAACTTTTGAATCACCCTGTGCTTGGTAACTGAAAATCCATTAAAAACCGAATTACAATCAGTTTTCTTCAGGAAGGCAAAATCGTCCGACCGAATAGATGCGTCCGAAGTATCATCGTGGGCCGATTACAGCGGAAAAACAACGCCAACGTTACTTCATGAGTTAACTCGTGAGCCACCTTCCAAAAAATCCTCCAGACCTGGGTCGTTTATTCTGGATGACGACCTTGAGGATGATGTGCAGGTATGAAAAACGTAAATTTAAGCAATCACTTACGGTAGTCGGATTAAATTTCTCATAAATCTTCCAGATATTGCATAAATATCTGAAAGATCTTTAACAGCTACTTAATGTCAGTTTAATAAAATACTTGAATTTAAGAAATAAAAAATTCTGCACTTTTGGTCGCCTTTAAACTGAATTGCTCCAATTTTCTGCTCATCGCAACTGCAACAATTTAAAATGTCTCTTAGGGCCGGTTGCACCGTTTTATATTAAAGCCAAGCTTACATAAACCAACCTTAAAAATTAAGCTCGGCTTTAAAGTAAACGGCTTGCACCATACCAATCTGTTGTTGGCTTTGTTAAGCAGTTGTCAAGCCGATCTGTTTTGCCATATGTGGAATTATGACCGTTTGCTGCCATGATACAATGAATACATGTATTAATTCTATCTCTACATCTTCTATCTTTACATTAGAATTTTTTCGATTGAGACGATAGATCGAGGGATTAACCTCAGTTTAGAACACGTTTAAGACAAGATTCTTAAATTGTACAAGTTAGGAACCTTCCGTTTAGAGTGTTTTCCAACCCAACGTTCATGTTTTAAATACACCTGTTTTTTAACAATTTTTTATTAAATAATTTTATATAGGTATTGAAATTTTATTTTGTACTGATAGACTAAAATTTGAAAGCAAATTTTTCAAATAATTAATTAATTGTAGTGTAGTATTGACCAATATCAATTAAATAATCCAATTTATTTATATTTGTGGTGGTTTTGTAGAACCCTAAATTTTAAAAAAAGCTAGTTCCTCCAAGTCCTCCAATGGATTATTTCTGTTATATATCGTTGGAAATCCAAACCCAGACAGTATTATTAAATCCATTGGACGTTCATAGGGCAACGGATTTCGGGCAGCCACATGTCCAATGGATGTCCATAATTTGTCCGATTGCTGTCCAATTGACGTCCATTTTCCTATACAAATGTCACAGAATCCTACCTCCGCCGGATGT